TCTGCTCCCTGGTCTCTCTAGCTCCACGGCCTGTTTGAAGCAGTCTGCAGCGTTCTGCTCCTCACCTTTTATTAGGAGGCAGCGTCCTCTGAGCACGTGGAGGTCTGGCAGACTATCACCCAGCTCAAACTGTAGAGCATGAGAGAGTCTTACCAAGGCACTGTTCACTGCGCTCTCATCCACTAAAAGGCTCTCCTGGAGTGCGTCTACACCCATGTAGTAGTACACCTGAGAGGAAGACATAAATGTGACTGTCGGAGTACCAAGCACAATGTGTGACCATCAATATTGTGGTGTATGCTTGTACCTGTGCCATCTCTAGATGAGTTCGCAGACATGGACGCACACTGAGCACCTTGTCCAAGTCTTTTCTAGCCTCAGCTAGCTTCTGTCGCTCAGGTGGTCCACCTTCACCATGCTTTGCCTTCTCCAGGTCCCTGAAATATAGGATCATATTGATCTAAAAAGGGCATAAAACCATTTTGTGAACATCTCATCAAATGCTAGCATATATTTATTTTTTGCAGCTGTTTGCAATTTAGGACCTCGATGTTTGCATTTGCAGATAAATACTGAACATAAATATAACCATTACCAGTCAATACCAGCTGACACAACAGAACTAATTACCCAAATATGTCAGTTCTGTGCAACTATTAGCCACTTTACTGTGACACAAATACCCTAGCATTTTAAAATCATTAACATGGTAGCAGGCTGGAGGATGCTGACACGTCATTGACTTGATGTGTCTCAGCTGCAGTACCTTGGCACGGGTGCAGTAAGCCTGCCAGTTGAGCTCTGGATCTGGCAGCACATTCAGAGCCATGTTGCAGATCCCTGTGGCCATCTCATGCTTGCCCAGCAGAAAGAAGACCTTGGCCAGAAGGTTCAGGACAAATGCATCTTCAGTGGCCATATCTATGGCCTGAAGACAAAGACAGTTCTTTTATTGTGGCACATACAGAGCGTTCACCCTAACAAGAGGGAAAATTGTATTCTTCTACTTCTAAAGCAGCTCCAGATAAAACAGTCTTAACCAACGTTTTTTCTTGGCTTGCCTGATATTTGGTGAGAGATGTAAATGTGGGAGTAAACTTACTGTTCCATAGCAGGACAGAGGATCAGAGGCCGAGTAGCCACAGTCGTGTATCGACATGGGCACAGAGGAAAACTCCTCCTTCCTTTCCAACATGATGCCGACATAACACCAGGCTAGAGCTGACAGGAGAGATCAGAGTAAGACTTTTTTGTCCACATTTTGTATAGTAGCTAAAAGTAGCTCCACCCCATTTAACAACATTAAATGGTGCACATGAGGGAACACATTCAGTCTAATTACACAGTACGTTTCCAATGGGAGCCAATCTGTGTGACTACTTTAATTTTTGATGCTTTAAGTATATTTTGCTGATAGTCCTTCAGCATTAATGAGATTCTAATGCATGACTGGTACTTGTAGTGGAGTGTTTTTAACATCCCAATACATCTTCCACTACTCCCTCATTCCAAATGGTTTTGCTGCATATTCTTCCTATACATGTGCAGCAGAGCAGATATACTAGTCATATAGAAACATACAGAATTTACCTTTGTGCTGCATTTTCTCAGATTCCAGTGTTTCTTTAAGAAGCCTGAGTCCCTTATTGTAGTGAGACAGTCGGGAATATTCAGAATCCTCTTTGGTCTTTACTATGTCGTCCAATCTGCAGAAAGTAAATATATTCAATATTTTCATGCTGTGTAGTGATATTTACCTAAATCTTTTCAGGGTTTGTTGCTGTACCTTATATAGATGGTTGCCATTTTAAAATACCAGCTTCGTTTTTCCTCTGCTGGTATCTGAAAAACAACAGCAGCCCAACAGCATTAGCTAATTACTGTTTCAAAGAAATGTGTATATGGAATGTTAAATAACAAGTTAAGGACTTTTTTGTGCCAATTTGGGATTTTAGGCTACAAGAATTAAACTAGCTTGACTTGAGTCTCTTCCGTGAGCATCTACCACATGTTAAAACTTCAGCTTGCAGATGAAATGACTCATAGAGCTATGAACTGACAAATATGTAATAATTACCAGCACTGCACGGTGAAACTAGCAGTCAGTGAGACGCTGGATTGTTATGCAGTCACAGAATGGTGTGTATGATTAACACCTAACCAGCTCCACCTTACATTCTGCACTTTAATCGTAACATCACTGTCTTCATTCTGAGTATTTATGTCTCCATCTCACCAGATGACCCCCATAATCCAGGGCTCTGTTGTAAAGTGTCAGTGCCGCCGTTAATCTCTCTCTCAGGTCATCCTCGCTGTCCAGCTCCACATCATATGGATAAATGTAGGCCTGTTCAGCCAGGCAGCGTGCAGCCAGCAGTCTGGCCTCCTCCTGGGAGGCCTCTCCAGCCTCTAGGCCCATGAGGTGAGAAACTTTGTCCACACACTCTCCGGCATCCAGCTCTCTCCCCAGCTTGTCGTACACGTAGCCCAGGTTGGCCCAGGCATTGAGGTTCCCAGGGTCCTCTTTACAAATACTCCTGCAAGGCCAGACGACATTGTGGGGTTTAAAAAAAAAAAAAAAGAGACTTCATTAGGGTCTTGAACATTTGAAGCGATTTAACAATATCTTTTAATCAGTTTGATTCTTTTCTTGACCAAACTGTAAGTCAAGGCGTTTTAGCAGTACGACACTGTAAATCATCTTAGGTTCATTAAATTTAGAAACACAAGTTCCCCTGCTGCCGTAAAAGTGCAAGTTAACTGCACTTTAATTAGTTCACTGAACTTGGAAAACAAGTTCAATAAACAGAACATATTAAGTTGAATCAACAAGGCACATAGACGGTAGTTGCAGGCAGAATTGCTGTTTTCTTGAAATTAGCAAAACCCATGTTTTTACGTTACATCAAGTGGAAAAGATGAGTTGATTTGACTAGATTAATTTATGTTTTCCAGTGTAGCAGCATGGCTTTATGTTAGTCCACTTATCTCAGCTATTAGAGATTTTGAACCTTTAGTGGTCCAAGAGGATGAATTGACTTTTCGTCCACCATGTCAGTGAAAGTCTTTACAAGTGGATGTCTTACCACGATGTTTAGTACACACATTATGCTAATAGCTGAACTATTCACCCTCAGTAGTTTGTTTTATTTAGCAATTTGGTTAGCAAATCTGTATTGATTAGAAATAATAATAGCAAATACTAGCTACGTCCGTAGTTATTTCATTATACATGCTAAAGCTTTAGCATATCAGCATTGCTGTTATGTGCATGTCAGCATTTAGCTCAAAGCTCCACTCTGCCTGAGTGCAGCCTCACAGAGCTGCTGTGTGGTTAATGGGCGTGTTAGATTTCCAAAGCAACCAGGAAATTTATAGTCATGTAGTAAAGTTATGTAAAATGATAGCAAAGAGAAAGAAGAAAAATCAGATAAAAGAAGATAAAATGCCATTGTGTATACTAGCCTGTTCTGCATTGGCATCTGCTGCATGAAAATCAGAAGCAGAGTATAAAGCATCTGTAAGCAGCAACACTGCACGTGATGAAATATAAAACTGAGCTGAATGTTTGGTGCAGACAACCATGGTAACAAAATGAAATGAAGATCTCTAAAGAAATCAGGCATTGGCAGTGTACCAAAGTCAGATCTGTAATTCAACTTGTGTCGTGAATATTCTGAATATTTTACCCCAGAAAAGATCAGAGTGTATCATCACCTGAATATTTCCTCAGCTGTGTCCAACTGTTCGAGGTGAAAAGCCAGCAGGCCCAGAAGATTTCGGACAGCATATTGAAGATATCCGACTTCAGCCTCTAGCTCAGCTCGCAGACTGTCCTGTTTCAGATAAGTGTCCCGACGTCGAAGCTTCACGGGTCCAACAGGTTCACAGTTAAGATTAAGCTCCAGATGGAAGTGGCCTGGGATGTAGTCCATGTCCTCCATGAGGGACTCAATGTCCTCTGTGTTTTCTGTTTCCATGGCCTCCTTATCTTCTTCCTCAAGAAACCTTAAAAAAAAAAACACAATAAAAATCCTGCCAGTATATATTTTGACTGAAGATCCTAAGAAAACAGCTCTTCCTCCTCAGGCTGCTATTGCATAAACCGCCCTTTCCGTCTGTGTGCGGGCAGGTTGAACAGGTTAGGCTTGTGAGTAACTAGGGACTGGAAGAAGCTGTATGATACACCTTTTACCTTTTATGGATTTTCATTTATGACATTGTCAGTATGCTACAAAAAAATCCTATGTGTTTATGTTGGTTTTTTGGTTTTCTTTTGGAAAATATTTTCTTCATATGGGGTTTGGCTCTGTTTTTTGTGATTTGGCTCTGGGATAGAAATACCAATTGACATACCTTAAAGTCACTTCTGACAGGATGATTTAATTTATGTCTTTTCCTTTGTAAAAATGTTTTTGATGCCTTGCTTCTGGAGATTGTTTCAGTTGTGTTGGCCCCTGTGAATGTTTTAGTAGCCCACAGAGGAATGTGACCCATCAGGCTCAGTTTGAATGAAGAAACACTCAGTGAAACACAGCCTGCATTATTTTGTCTTCATGTTACTACTTTAAGCAGTAAACTATATTTGTAATTAATTTAGTATATTTTAGGTGGAATAAAAATAATGAAGTGTGAAAAAGGAAACATGCAGTTTTATAATGAGCTACTGACAGTCCTCCACCTCAAGGAAATATGCAAATACTTTCAACGGTTGAAGAAAAGCAAACATTCAGTGTGAATCCTTGTTTCCTGCAGTCATGGCGCTGCCTTAGATAATCAGATAAACATGGTGAGCACATTTTTGTTTCTAGATTGCTTTTGCATACAAATCCAAACTCTTCCACCAGAGGGTAAACTTGTATTATGATAAACTAGACTGACAGAGCAATGAAAGAAAGACTGTGTGTTTAATGCTCAAAGCCCACTATCACACTCAGAGTCTCATTGGTCTCAGTGGGTTACCAGACAAGTGCAAGCTCTCTAAGAAAACTGGAAAAACTCCACAAAGCCTCAGCACTTCAGGCTTCTCAGGAGAGACAATTCAAGGGGAGATCTGTGCTCCGCTGACTGCTGAGGTGTAAAACTGTGAAAACTGCAACAACAACAGAAACAGTAGGCTGATAGTGACAGCAATTTAGATATAACAGGAACAACCAAAAAAAAAAAAAAGGTAAAAGACACTTTCAGGAGGAGAGTTCTTTAGCAGTCCAATAGAACCTAGTAGGGGGGTGATGGCTTGACTACTGAAATCTGAGGATGTAGATTGTTGGAATGTGACAGAAAGTATATAAGATGTACATGAAATGTTGATGTATGTCCTTAAAACCTATTGATTTTTAGTGTAATCTTGAAGGGCACTGCTCACAGGTGAAAGAAAATGAAAGAATATATTAGATTAAATTAGATTAGATTCAACTTTATTGTTATTGCACCAAGTACTAAGACAACAAAATGCAGTTTACCATCAAACCAGCAGTGGAAAAGCAGCAGCAAAGTGCATTATTTACAGTATGGTTTATACGGTATGCTACAGTATAGACAGAATGAACAGTCTGGACAGAGCACTGCGAACACGCAAATATATTAATGTAAAGATGTGGATACAATATAAAACAGATCATCTAAATCTACAAGTGGAGATAAATAGTGGTGTGAGCAGTGTAAACGGTATAAATAGTATGGATAGTATAAACTGTATGAGCAGTATAGGGTAACATCTCCAGTTTGCTGTCCAGAGTTTGAATGATGACACAAATATTGTACAGTTTCCATGTAATTTAAATCGATAAAAGATGTTGATTTCTTGTATTAATGGTGAAAGCTCTACTATGAAGCTAAATGTTTTTAAATTTGGGCACTTGTGAGTCGCCAGACCGAGTGTAAGTCTCCATTAATTTGGAGTATATATATATATATACTTATTATATTTGAGGGGGTCAGTGCCAAAGTGGGCCAAACCACATTTGCTAGTTTTAGAGAAAAATGTGGTCAAAATTTGGTGTTGCTAAAAAAAAAAAAAAATTGTTAAGGAGTCATAATATGCATCCAAAGATGTTTCAGTGCTGTCCAGAGATAGAAACAGCTACTTTGTGATGACTTATTTAAGTTTTAATCTTGCCTTTCCTTTGGCTGAGTGTCAAAGTGGACCATTTTTACCGTACTTTTTGAGAGAAAGACTGATTCAAGGTTTGTCTGCTAAACAGCATTGAAGAGTTTACATGGGTCAACATAAGAAACTAGAGATACTTTTGAGGACCATGGGGTGGAAATAGATGCTGGGTGGGGGTTCGTTAAGTTTTTATTTTACCTTACCATACCTACGAGTTGAATTTTCACGGGGCTTGAGGTTGCGCTGTCCGCCATCTTGGATCGCAAATACGTGTGACTACCTGCGACCGCGATATGATGGTTAGCAGTTCCTGTGGCTTGGTCCAGTTTACCACAAAATTTTCATGCCAAAACCATTATGAGCCAAACTTCAAAGTCGCATTGTGACATTACTAGTGGGCTGTTGGTTGGACCACTTCGCCACAAACTAGTAGACCATAGACACTTATCAAAAAAACATGAAACTCAAATTTGGATTCTTTTGTGGTTTGGCCCGCTTTGGCACTGAACCCCTCATTTATACATTTAAATTTTTCACCATATTTCTGTATATGACAGGTGTTGTCCTGTGGTTCTTACCTTAGAGTTTTGGAGACAAACTTCTTGAAAACGGGGATGTTTGGTGTCAAAGTGGCTTTTTACCGCTCTTCAAAGTGGCCAGTGTTAGACCAAAAATAAGCTAAGTGATCTCATGCTTTCCCCTGGTAAAATGAACACATATGCCTCAGCCTAGTCATGATTACACTCACTGACAGTTAGTAGCAGCTAAAGGGTGTGTGTGTATGTGGTAGCATGAGTGATGAGTCACTTGCGAATGACTCAGGTTGCATTTAAACTGTTTTGTCTGAATTGAATTGTACTTCAGCCATATACTCCACTGAGAGCAAAGAAGACAGCCCATCTGACAAGGAATTACTCAGCAGACAGGCCAATGAGAGCAGTGTTACTAATGCTAAACATGCAGGTTTTTGGTGTGGCAAGTGTCGAGACAAACATGTAAACCTCATACGAATGTCTAAGTTAGGCTTGAACAGAGCTGCTGCCTCACAACTGCCTTGATAGATAGAGTTGTCATCAGAATGTGTTGCATAATGTGAAGTCAGTACTGTAGATCTGCCTCAGTGGGCAGTCCTTTTCCATTTGTACCATGTGGGTGTGCAGAAATCTGAAAATGTTCTGCTCTCAACAGCCGTTGCCATGGTGGTCATCGTGGATACCAGGCTGATTGCATGGTAACATAATGATTACAGATGCTTGTTTGTATGGCTGCGCACCCTCAAAGCCTAAGACAGAATTTCAACAGCATTTTGCTCATAAACGATTCGATTCAACAGACTTGCTTTACATTCCAGCAGCCAAGAGACAAAACAAAGGTATTATTAGAGAGAGGTTGACCCCTAATAATCCCTGTGGCCCTCACCGTTTATTCCCCTCTAAAGGAGGATTAGGACATGCGTACCACATGCTGGTAGAGGTCCTTTTGCCTTCAAACTAACCCCTTGTTAACCTACTTAGTTGTTTTGCTGTCTGTCTTAATTTTTTTTACTGATTACTGGTAAAAACCAACACACAGAATGGACACTGCATCTGACAAACAGCATCCACATTTCTGCACAAATATTCATTCACCTATTGGTGCTGATAATAAAGTTTCCACCTGCATAACTTACAGCAGATGGGAGCTGACAAGGTCGAGTTCGGGACAGTGTAAAATGTGCTCTGCAAAATGGTCAAGACAGCTGTTTTGGTAATTGATTTGTCTCTTTTGTGCACACTTCAAGCCAGCTTATTGTACTCTGGACTTCCTCACATGGAAAGAACAACCTCCCTTCTTAGAATCATGCACTATGGTCATATGAAGTGGTGTAAACTGTTTTCTGTCAATGGCTTTGTCTTCTTTTGAAAATGTTCTTAATTATTATTCATCCAGGCCTCCATTCTTAATGTACACAACAATCAGAATTTAAAGGAAACCTGTGAAATACACTCATTAACCACAACATTGAAACTACAGAGAGATGTAATGAATAACATTGATCGTCTTGGTACAACTGAATATTGTGCTTAGAAACCTTGGGTCCTGGCATTTGTGTAGATGTTACTTTGCTACAGACTACACCCCCCCCACCCCCGTGACACTCTCTAATGTCAGTGACTTCCTCGAGCAGGGAAATGCTCTAAGATCTCTATCCAATCACTCATCCATGAGATACACTGGAAGCAACCCAATCAATCTAGACCCCACCACACAATCCACAGGACCCGAAGAATCTGCTGTCAGTGTCCCACCGCAAGACAACACAATTCACCCTCAGAGGTCCTGTGCCCATAGTTCCCATGTCAGAGGTGTTTAGTTGGTAGAAGGGGGGACCTACCCTGTTGGCAATGTTGTGGCCTTGTGCAGCTCTGAGTTTTGTTCTCCATCTGTTAAAACCTCCTGTTCAAATTGATCTTGGATTGAACTTTTTAGAAATATGGTTTAAATATGAAACATTATTATCAGATTAGGTTGAGTCAGCAGTTAAAATGTGTAGATCTTAAATGCAGGTTGACATGGAGGCTAGAGACCATGGAGCAACCAGGCATCAAAGTTCTTTAACGTCCATCTCTGCTGAGACATGACGGTTACACTGACAGGACCATAGCTGGGAAATTTGGCGCCCCTCATGAGATTTGACACTGAATACAAAGGATCATAGGATCACAGGAAAGCCTCATTAATCCAAAGTTTATACCTTCCTATCCCCTCCTTCAAGCTAAGCTCTCCTCCGCCTTTGTTACACCCTCATTATCAGTGTGTAACACTGGTCCAAAGCATTGTTAAAGGGTGAACTTGAAATGTAGTATGTATGATATGCTCGCCTCCCCTAAATGAAAAAAAATCTGCCTTAGTCTGGTATCCAAGCATTGTCTTCATGTCATATCATAACGATTGAGACAGCCTTAATCCATTTCCACTTTGGAATCCAGCTATTAAGTCTTTGTTATTTGATATACATTTCCACCCCCCCCTTTTAGAGACTCCCTCCTTATCCCTTTTGTTTCCCTGAGACTGACTTGTACGTTCCATTAATGCTTATATTTTAAAACCCCTGCCTTTCTAAGTCACTTCATTCCTGTTGACGACCACTGTATTTCCATTCTTAGTCAGCTTCTCCCTGGCAGCTCGAATGAGTGTTCACAGTGAAAAGCATCTCTTCAGCTCTCCAGAGGCCTCTCCTGACTGCAGATTACACCACTGAGTGTGTCTTTGTGTTGCCTCTGTGTGTTACAGATATATACAAAAACAATGGAACATTTTTAGTGGCTCATAGCAAAGCAGATTTACCAAAAATGATGACTATCAAAACTCTTTCATGGTATTTATGTTTTATTTCTGTTTCAAAATTGGTCTCGTCAGCCATGTTGACTTTGTCTATGTAGATGTGCTTTCCCTCCTAAGCTGTAAAGAAAATGGGAGGAAAATTATGCTCTCTCCACACTTATTGACTTTTCTAGTGGACCATGTCGGTTTCCACTGACATGGGCATTTAATTTTCTGTGACCCAAAACAGCGCCAACATGTCAGTCTCATAACCACAAGCTTTAACCTGACATATTTTCTTAGCCACTGTTCCACATGAGGAGGTCCTGGCCTGTTAAGGAAAAATCCGTCTGGACTGTGTCTGTGTCGGCAGAGAGAGAGCTGTCACACAGAGACACAGTGTCAGTGTGTGTGTAAGTGTATCACAAGTAATCTGATAGTCTGTTGTAATGCAGACATCCGTCATACCCTAATTAATTCAATTCATTTTTTATCTTCTATAATATTATTGAGAGAAACCCAACAATTGCCCCTTGATGCTGTTCAATCAGTCTGCAGTGTGGGATGGATTATTACAACACTTCCTAGTATGTGGCCTGCCAGATACAAACCCAAAGTGCAGAGATGCAGTTTATTGTAATATTTCAGGTGTTTATGACTTGTTAGTGGTTTGATCACAGTGTCATTTCCCCCCCTGAACTTCTCCCATGGAGCTAAAGCTATCCAGCGTCCCACAAACAAAGATGGATGACAAAACAGCTCCCCTGAAGTGAAGCCAAAAACCCTTGGAAAAAGCCGATGCCATCTTGTGCTGATTAAAGACTCTGCAGTCGTGACCATGGTTGGAGCCCTCCATAGCATCATCATTCTTTCAGAGATATTTCCCTATTTGGTGTTTTGATGATAGTGGTGTCTGACATGAAAAATCTCCGTTGACTACATTCTGGTTTTACATATTTTTTTATACTAATCGAGCCATTCAGTGATGCCTTTGTACCCTATGGATCAATGAATGAGGGCATGGTAATTCTGGAAGAGACCACTCCCATTACAACAGGAATGTTTGCGTCCTGGTTAGGACACCCGGGATCTTTCTGTGTGGAGTCTTCATGTTCTCCCCGTGCAGCGTGGGTTCTCTCCGGGTTCTCCAGCTTCCTTCCACACAGTCCACAAACATGTTGAGGTTAATTGGTGATTCTAAATTGTCCGTAGGTGTGAATGTGTCTGTGAGTCTGTCTCTAAGTGTAGCCCTGTGATAGACTGGTGACCCCTGTCTTTGCCCTGAGTCAGCTGGGATAGGCTCCAGCCCCCCAAGAACCTATAGTGAGGATTAAGCGGTGTATAGATAATGGATGGAGAATAGAATAGAAATACCTTTTTTTGATCTCCAAGGAAAATTTCTGTAAATAACTATGGAACCTGACCCGACTAATTTTGAACTAAAGTTATGCCCTCACAGAAATACACATAAAACCAACAAGGATGTTCTTGATCCCCTCTAAGCAAAATATTTTTTATTTCATGTGGAATATTTAGGTGTTTTTTTTGTCTGTTTCATTTATGTTTGGCATTTTTTTTCTACTCTACCGGTGTTGCACGACTTCCACAGCTGTTTTATTTTGGTAGTTCATGATGCTCCTGCCCAACGTGCTCATTACGGAGGTTGTATGTTGAAAGTCGTACCGGAAGCAGTCGAGTGTTACAGCGGGTACTTGACGGTGTGGGGTCTCCTCTCCCACTCTGCGGCTGCTGGTCGCTGTCATCATGCAGGTGGAATCTGCGCAGTCTGGCTCAGTGTCGGGATTTCCAACAAGACACATCAGCCTCAGACACAGGACACCGGAGTCCGGATCAGTCTGCAGGCTGTTCCCCGCTGCAGAGGAGCCAGTCAACAAGCCACTGGAAATAAACACCTAATTGAATCTTTTTTCTTTTTTCTTTTTTTTCTGCTTTCACTTGATGATCATCAGTTTAGATACAGGGGCTGCATCAATTTGACACCAGATGATGACAGAGTTAAACCAATAGTCTAATCAAGGATTTCTCTCGGCATCATTGTGCTGGATTAACCACACGTTGCTCAACTGTTTTTCTCTCCTGGCGCAGTCCAACTCAGCAGGAGTCGCATAGGATGCCATACAATCCTATAGGAAGTGACTCCAGCAGCTTGACAGGCAACAGTCTCAAAGAAAGCAGAAGGACGGAATAACTGTCCTGCGGATCTTATTCGGTTTAAACGCGCAAAAAAAAAACAAAAAAAAAAACAGCGATGGATGAAGGATCCGTCAGCGAGACCATCCCAGATCTGAAAGACATAGAGGTGAAAATCGGCCGAAAGACTCCCGAGGGTTTGCTCAGGTGGATGCGGGAGGAGGCGTCCTCTCTCCGGGGAGACGCCAAGCTGGTCGCCGCCGCGCACGACACCAGTAAGGAGACGGGGAGGAAGAGTTTGGATGAAAAGATCAGGAAATTGAAGATGGAGATGGTAAGAGGGCTGTGCGTGTGTGTGAGATTGTGTGAGTGTGCAGACTGTTGGATGTGTGTTTTCCAGGATGTGTCATTCACTGAGCTGACATAATGATGCAGCTTAATGAAGCTCTGCTCCACTGGTCAGTGTTGTATTTTTATCATTGCTCAGAAATATGAAAATCATGCAGCACACAACTCCTAAACATGTGCATTAATCAGGGAACAGTGAGTACTACAGAACATCAGAATGGATGATTTCACAGTTTTCCTGATATTTAACTCTCATTTGCTGTTGTGGCACTGGTACAATCACAGGCTGAATAATTAAGCCTTCATTAAGTAAGGACAGAGGTTCAAATGTCCATAGTGTAAAGCACCACTTAACATCTGCTGACAGTGGAGAATAAATGACCATGCTGTATTCTCCAAAGGGACGTCCTCCAGCGCTCCTTCCGGCCCCTACTGTGCACTCACAGTGGAGCGTCCTGCAAAATGTCAGTGTCCTTGTAAAATGGCCAGAAAAGCTTCCATTTCTAAGGCGTTAGATGCCAAAAATTTTTACATTTCTTCTCCCTGTGACCTTCTCATTGTATGTTGGTTCAGGACTGCCTGGTTTTCAGGGCCCCTAATTGTGAGGCCTCAGGCAACCTCACTAACCTCAGCTTTGTAGCTATTTCTTGATTACTGGTGTGAACACCTTTAAGCATTATGATTGTTAGTAGATGCTTTAGAGTTTGTAAAAAAAAAACTCAAATGTGAAGCTATAGTTTAGCTTGTTGTTGTTTACTTCTGTGATTAATGCGTTATTACCATGCAATATGCTAACGATCAGTTAAGCATTTGTACGTGTCTCCTAACGGTAAGTTTTACCCCTAATGTGACACTATGGCTCTCTATAACACTGAACAATACTTTTGTTGAATACTTTGGTATTATTTTCTGACCAGATTGCTTCGGTTGAAGGCAACTGGACTTCTTCTTTTGGCTCTTGAAGATGAATGGTCAGGAGTCAGGGGTATTCATTCACATAGCCCAAATCACATAGCTAATGGTCTGTTCATGGCTTGAGGCGTTATAGTTGTGAAACTGCCAGGTGAGGGACGACTCAAGGTGTTAATGGTGGTGAAGCAGAGACTGTATTACAAGTACAGTTGTGACTCAATAATCCAAAAACCTTGCTATCCGACAGGTTTTTAGGGAAAAATGAACGGAACCCATTAAAAATAGCCTTAACATACCGACAGCCTTGGATTCCCTCTCCAACATGACATTTTTTGTCACAAATAAGGATAACGGCGTATTATCTGACTTAACAATCCGACAGATTGGCTACGTTCAGACTGCAGGACTTAATGCTCAATTCAGATTTTTTTGTGAAATTCGGCTTTTTGCGAGTTCGTTCACATTTCCCATTAAATGCGACTTGTATGTGATCTGCTGTGTGAACTTCATACGACCCAAAAGTGTCCCGCATGCGCAGAAGAGGACACAATGACGTCACATGCAGCGAGCGTGCTCAGTGTTTGCAGAAGTAAACACGGATGGTAACGGTAGAGTGTATCCGCCACTCCCCTGCCGCCATGGTGGAAACAGAAGTGTGACCCCTAACTAAACTGACATCAGCAGCCAAGTACTGCCTGTGTGTTCCAGCCACTTCCACCACACTGGAGCGCTCCCCCGGGGTGGAATTGGCCGGAACGTGCACAAATGCATTGGTCAATAAGGCTTGAAATCCAGTGCAGCGTTCTAACAGTACACTAGTTACTATAACAACTATAAACAATAAATATTAACAACAAATGAGCCTTCAAGCATCAAGCCCTCCTTGTATCTCCACCTCCGTCTTGACAATCTGACAGCCTTGCTATCCAACATAAAAGAAGGTTTTACATTTAGTGTCGGATAATCGAGTCACGACTGTACATGATAAGTGGTGTTGAAAACCCCCTTCTCAGTTTAGAGATGGATGTTCCAGTTTAATATCGATGGATTCCTTAACAAGCTGTCTGTCTCCCTCACCTGGCAGTTTCACCACCTTTTCAACACATGCGACTCTTGGGCTGTTCATGGGCCACTAGCCATGTGATTTAGAGGTGATAATAAATGTCTAGGACTCCCCACTGGTCAGTTAGAACCGAGGAAGCTTCTTGAATAAGGGTTGAAACACCTTTCAAGAAACAGAGAAGTTCTGTTGCATTTTACTAAAACACGTGTGATTATCACGGATGACTGAGAAGCTACATAGACACCATTTGTAGAACCCAAGGTTTTTTAGTGAATATACCACTGGTACATATTTGTTTTGCAGTCAATAAATTACATATATACAATACAATATTTGTCACAGAGATAAATGAAGGCACACACAAATTACAGAACAAGCTGATAGTCTCCACCTGCATTATGAGACAAAACAGAGAATATTTACAGTATAAGACAGTTTAGAATCTACATTTCCTCATGATTAAGGATGTCTTTGATTGATACTTAATGATAAAAAGTGACATGTTTAATTTGATTCCCCTTGAAAATAATGTGAAGGCTTCTCTTTCTTACTCATTCAATAATTCAAGTTGCCGTTTAAATTTTGTTTTTATGTCCTATGGCATCTTTTTATGTCAGTGAGCTTTATTTTGGTTTGATATATAATCCCTCTGAAACATACTTTTAGACTGCTTTTGTTTATTTTTACATATTGAATGATCACCACCTTCTCCTTTTGTTCAGTCGAGGCTGTTCTTTGTTTTGGAAGCACATTATTTCCTATTGAGCTGCAGTTCATTTGTTCCTCTAAACAAATATCTCTCTGTCTCCTTGTTTACATGGACCCCACCTCCCACCAAACACTGGAGGTCTGTAGCAGTAATGCACCACTCTACAGTATCCTCCCCCCCTCTGTGATCATGTATGCCGTACATTCCCGTGGCAGATGCAGGCGTGCATCCAGTCTGTGGTTATGACACAGAGCACATGCACCACCACAACTGAACTCCCAAACAAAGCAAGCTGTCTTCTGAGAGAGCTGCTCCAAAACACATTGGTTACGCTGAAACATTCAAAACACATTATCAGTTTGGTCACATGTTAGAAATAGAAGCTTATTTCACTCCAGGGCTGTAGTGCAGCCTTATGTTGAAGGCAGTGTGTGAGCATTCGGACTCTTGAGGAGCAAATAGTGCGCTCAAATGGTGTAAATGAACACTTCCTGAAGAAACATTATCGCTTTTTGGAATGTGGGCATATAAGGTTTGGTGTCTTCTGCCACATGTCTTTCATTTTAGCTGGACTTATACTGTATGTCTACATTTTCATTTGGTTTATGTAGCCAATGAATAACAAGGTGCGTCATCTTGGTCTGTCTTTGGCAGCCTTGGATATGTTTCGATGCTGATTCTCTTGGCACAGAGACTGTTCAATGCCCGTCCAATGACATGACAGCTGTCTGTGACGTTACAAAGCAGCAACCTCTAGAGTTAAACAATGACGTCAAAGTACCAAAACTGCAGGTCCTGAAATGGCCACTTGAGGCTGACTCTAAAAGTCTGTCAGTCCCCGTAGACCCCCATGTTAAAATCCCCAACATTACAGCAGAAATAAACATGTTTACAGCCTGGTGCAAAAAACGGTGTTGATCTCTATAGCTAATCTTCCCATTCATTACAGCTGTATGGGGGACACATTTTTATATAACTCATGCATTTAAAATATATCAAGGCTTAAGGTAATGCATAATTAAATAGCTTTGAGTGACAGGTGGGTGCTGTCATAGGACAGTCTGGCCCAGAGATGCTTGCATGACCTGCTTCAGCTCCATTCATGCGCCACCTCTTTGCTTATCTTTGGGTTAGCCGGGAGTTCGGAGGGCTTGGGCGCTGCCAAGATGGCAACGGTAACGTCACCTCACTTAGTTCAAAACGGCTGTTTGGAAAAAAACTTGTGGGTTCATCCATCTTTATAAACACTGTAACCTGAAAAGCAACCCATAGTGTGTGCCCCACTTTGTGGTGTGCACACACCTCATAGCGCTGAACATGCATATAGACTTGTGTTGTAGTGGCAGCACTTCAGAATGAATAAATACTTAAACATTTCATGCTGAAGTGGCCCATATCCATTTTTTTTTTGCCTTTAAGTGACTCAGTTCACATTTTTTTCACAGATGTGTGAACAAACCAAATCTCTTATCTTTCATTTCACATCTGGAACACTTACATCCATATGTGGTTTCAGATCTGATTCATACCAGATCTCTGCCTATGTGGCCACTGTGAGAATGGTCAGATCAGAATGAATGGGACTCTTTAATGTTTTGCACATCACAAATCGCCTGTTGTCATTATTTTTTGTCTGCACCATGGAGCTAGGTAAAAGTAAACATGGAGGAGAGCCACAATAGCTATGAGATCAATGGAGAGACAAGGAACTTGGGTATTTGTAGGACACATACGGTGAAGAGTGTTAATGATGTGACATTATTTTATACATATGGCTTATGTTTCAGTTAGACCTACACATTTTAGATCCTCAACAGTATTAACTTGATAGTCCATGTCATTTGGTGTGAACCATCTAATTGGAATTGAGCACCAAGGCTTGTAATGTGGATATATCCTTGCTAATGTCTAGCAAAGGTGCCCCATCGCACCAATCACTGTGTATATGTACCAGCAGGACTCAGTATCATCAAGTCAATCACATGACTACAAGTATGAGTTGGAAAAAGTCTGATTTTTTACACAATGTTTACATTAAAAAAAGTAATTCGAGAACCCATTTACATTTTAACCTTTAACGACAGTACCGCCATCAGGCCAAACAGTGCAAACTTTTTAGGAACCCCTTGGTGACAATCTAAATTTTAACCTTGTTAACATGTCCATGGTGTTTTTTTTTAATATCCTGGAAGACATAAACAATGATGAGTGAAATAAACAGTCAATTGCATTGTTGAGCATTTCAGAAACTGCAGAGTCCTGACCACAGTCTCAATAACATAGATTCAGACTTCTGGGCTCT